TAGAAAAGGAACTGCCAGGATTCGCGCTCCTCCACTTCCCAGAACCACTTCCCACAGTCCTCAGAAGGAACCCTCTTTAGGGTGACATCCGCTTTGAGGATCACAATTGGGTTAGACTGCAGGCCCCTACACTTCCTGGAACAGCTCCTCACTGGCCTTCACACACCTGGCTTTTGTTAGCCCCCCTTCTTTCTACTGAGCCCCAGTCATGGGGAGCAGTATGTCCTACCTCTGCCACCAATAACACCCAGGTGTGGGGAGCCACTGGGCTCTGCACCCCCACCCACAGCCAGCTGTGACTCTAAACCAGCAGGTAGAACAGAAGGTTGATTAGTTCACAGGGACACAGCATAGAACAGATTTGTTAGCACAGGAACCAGAAGCAGTCAATACAACTCATCTTGCGGAGAAGGGGGCACAGACCCCTGAGCTCTGCCCCCCATCTCTGACCCCAAGCCAGAGAGACTCACTCACACACACCCAGCAGCAAATCTCTGTCACTCCAGCCCTGTCTCTAGCCTTTGACGAGCTTCCCGGGGCAAAGGTGCCACATGGGCACATACTCCTCCCAAACTTAGGTTACAGTGAACCTAGGGCATTGGGAACATGATGGGTTTAGCATGCTCCCTCAGTGAGTCACACCTAAAATCCCCATCCCCATCTAGATAATAGTGCAGTGCCCAGGGAAACTCAGGCGCGCACGTGTGCACACCCTCCTCCCCCCACACGGTTATTATAGGACAGTCAAAATCACACACAACATAACAAAGCAAACAGAGTGAATACAATCCCCATTTTATCACATTCCCATGTAGACAAACCCTAAATTAACTATGCTCTTGGAGCTTTGAAGAGGGGGAATACAAAGAGGCCATTTAATGAACTACTAAATAATGTGTTATGGTGGATGTAGGTTATGCATTATTATATGAAACAAAATAAGATATTAAAGAGTAGTGATCTCACTCTTGGGGTATGTCTACACTACAAAGTTAATTCGAACTAACAGTTGTTAGTTCGAATTAACTTTAATAAGGGCTACACATACAAACCGCTAGTTCGAATTTAATTCGAACTAGGTAAACCTCATTCTACGAGGAGTAACGCCTAGTTCGAATTAAGTAGTTTGAATTAAGGGCTGCATAGCCACTTAATTCGAACTAGTTGGAGGCTAGCCCTTCCCAGCTGCCCTGGTGGGCACTCTGGGCCAAACCAGGGAAACTCTTCTGCCCCCCTCCCGGCCCCGGAGCCCATAAAGGGGCACGGTCTGGCTACAATACTTGTGCCAGCTGCAAGCCTGCCAGCACCCAGCCAGCAGACCTTGCACCTGGCACGGCATGAGCCAGCCACCCACTGCCACCCAGCCCTCCGCCTCTTCCCCCAGGAGCCTGTCCAGGGCCGCAAAAGGCAGGCACCCACCTGGTCTAGTACGGAGACCGTGGACCTCATTGAGGTTTGGGGGGAGGCCTCCAACGTCCACGATCTCCGAACTAGCCACAGAAACGCGGCCGTCTACAGCCGCATGGCTGCCAGCCTGGCCACCAGAGGCCACATGCGGACCTGGGAGCAGGTCCGCTGCAAAATAAAGGATCTGCGGCAGGCCTACTCCAGGGCCTCCCAGCCAGGGGCCGACCTGGATGCATGCCCTCATTATGAGGCCCTGGACCGCATCCTGGGGGCTCACACAGTCCATGCCCCCCGTGTGGTGATCGACCCTGGGGCAGAGGGCCCCGTCCCTGACATGGAAGAGGAGGAGGAGGATGCCGAGAGCCAGGAGCCAGCAAGGAGCCTGCCCAGGACCCAGGACACCCGAGGCATCCCACACAGCACATCGGCTGTGTCGTCTGAGGCCAGGCAGGGATCCACATGTGAGTGCCATCATGCTCCCCTTATGTGTATGCGGGTGGCGGGGGGAGAGGGAGCCCAGGGACCGTGCACCTGGGCCTTGCCCACCATGGAGCAGCAGCTGGGTGTCATGCAGGGCCCCTGGCCCGTTCCCCACACGCCAACCTCAACTTGCAGAGGGGGACTGGGTTTCACCCACTGTGTCCCCAGGAAGAACTGACCACCGCTCTTGTTTCACCACAGCCGCAGTACCTGAGACTGCAGGGCACACCACTCCACCTGCAACAGACACCCGCACCCGGGCCAGCAGGTGCACTAGGAACCTGGAGGACTACCAGAGGCGGCACCTGCAGCTACTGGAGCACCAGCTCCGCACCCAGGACCACTGGGTCCAGGAGGACCTGTGGCTGCGGCAGCAGAGCTTGGAGGCGCTGGAGGAGCAGGGCCTTGCCCTCAGAGGTCACCTCCAGACCTTGGTGGACAGGTTCCTGCCTCCTCCTGCTCCAGCCCCTGGAGCTGCCCCAGCTCTCACTCCTCCTCCCACCTCTGCTCTCCCTCCCGCTTCCTCCGCAACCCCCATCCCTTCTGCTCCACACCCACTTCCCCCCGACTCCTCCGCAGTGCTGTGAGATGGGAGAGCTAGCAGGACCCCCAACCCTGAGCTTTCTCTTCCCTTCCTCCCCTTCCTCTCCCTTCCAGCTCCCTCCTCCCAGGTTTCCCCCTCTCCTCTCCCTCCCTCATTCCTCTCTCCCCCCCACCCCAATTATGTACAATAAAGAGAGGGTTTTTTGGCAAAACAGGGCTAGGTCTAGACTACATCCCTTTTTCGTAAAAGGGATGTAAATTAGACGTATTGCAATTGCTAATGAAGCGGGGATTTAAATCTCGCCCGCTTCATTAGCATAAAAATGGCTGCTGCTGGGGAGCCTGGCTTTGAAGGCCTGCCGGGAGGGGTTAAGGTGCCCTGTGTACGGCTTCATCAGCCAGGGCTGTAGGGGGTAGGCCGCATCCCCCACCAGGCAGATGGGCATGTCCACGTCCCCGACCCTGATGTGGCAGTCGGGGAAGAAGGTCCCGGTGTGCAGCCTCTGGCACATGGAAATGTTGCGGAACACCCTGGCTTCGTGTGCCTTGCCGGACCAGCCCACATTAATGTCTGTGAACTGGCCCTGGTGCTCAGACATGGCCTGCAGGAGGATGGAAGTATCCCTTGCAGTTGATGTACTGGGAGGCCTGGTGTTCCGGGGCGTGTATGGGGATGTGCGTCCCGTCAATGGCCCCCCAACAGTTGGGGAAGCCGAGGGCGCCGAACCCCTGGATGACCGCATCCGGGTCGGCGAGGCGGACCACCCTGCGGAGCAGCACCCGGTTGATGGCCTTGACCACCTGCAGAGAGACACAGCAAACTGCGAATCACTGGGGCGCCCGGGTGGCTGGGAGTGTTCGTGCCCTGGCACTGCCCTGTGCCCCACTCCTGGAAGCAACCCCCCCTCCGGGCGCTGTGGGCAGCGTGTAGTACGGCCGGGACAGACCGACCCCTCCCGTGCGGGGCACTTTCGCCTCCTACCCCACCCCCCGTTTTCCCTGGGGCAGCCCATTCCCTCCTTGCAGCCCCTCTCCCCCCTGTCCCAGTGGCTGGTGAGCGCCGTACCTGCATGAGCACTGCTCCAACGGTGCATTTCCCCATGCCACAGGGCGATGGCCACATGCTTCTGGAGGGGGATGGCGGGCCTCATGCAAGTGTCCCATTGCCACAGAGTAGGGGCCCACTCGCAGTGCTCCAGGAAGGTGTCCTTCCTCATCCTGAAGTTCTGGGTCCCCTGTTGGTCTCCCCAGCGCTCCAGGACAATGCGGTCCCACCAGTCGCTGCTAGTGTCCAGACGCCAGATGCAGTGGGGCACGCTGGCATCCGGCTGCTGCTGCCGCTCCTCCATGGCCCCCAGGGAGGCCAGGGAGAGAGGCAGGGGGCTGATGTGCACCAGATGGTGCCAGGCAGCCTCAAGCCATTGCTGGCAGGCTTTCAGCAGCAAGTCCAAAAATTGGAGCAGCATGCCCAGGGAGAGCTCTGGCTCCATGGTGCCAACTGCGGCGGCGTCCCCAATGGGAACCACTGACACAGGGAGGTGGAGAGGAAAACGCTTTGCTGTCCCTCTGCGAGGTAGGCAAGCAAGTGGAAAAAGCTGAGAACCGGCTGTCCAGGGGGGTCCCTTTAAGCACGAGCCTCAGATAACCTCAGACAGCAGCTACACAAAGCAATTACTGACCTGATGCCCTGCCAGAACCAGTTTCAGCTGCCCTTAAGTGCGACCCAGCGTCCAATCAGTGTGGACGTGCTATTTCAAATTAGCAAAACGCTAATTCTAATTAGTTTTTGGGTCTAGATGCGCTATTTCGAATTAGCTTATTTTGAATGAACTAATTCGAAATAAATTAGTTCGAATTAGCACTGTAGTGTAGACATACCCTTGGAGAGCACTTGAACCTGGCTCACACTAGCTCTTTTTGTCCCAACTGTTGTTGGATATGCAAAAGTTCTTTTGTTCTTAATACTTGTTCATCCAGTTGGCTTTTGTTTCATTTAGATGGCATAAATGAATTTACTTACATTAAAGCCAAAGCCAAAAACTACAAATAGATTACCTAGATTAGAGAAAAATCCAATAGTAAAAATCCTTTCTGTAACATACATGTAATTGTGAATAATGTTATAGACATAAAAAGGTGAAAATCATTCATCTTACTATGGTAATTTCAGTAATTGTATGGGAAAACATTTTAAAATGTGGAAGACAATGAAAGCAGCAATAGTGAAAAACTAAAACAATTTGTTCTAAAAGAACAGTAATAAAGACCACTAGGTTTGTGTACTATACTTATTACAGTTCTAGCTGACTGCTTAAATGACACTAATGCATGTTGTTCAATTTCAGAATTATGTTGGCTATATTTTGCTCCCTCCTAATGAATAATGTGATTTAATCAGGATTTCAAACTCTTGAGCACCTTTGTCAGATTTTTTCATTAAGTCCTGTATTAATGTCTCATGTCTTCCAAATCTTTCAATCCTATAGAGTCCAGAATGGGCTCTCAATAGCCATCCTCTAATACTACTCCAGTGAAAGACTGATGCTTTGACCTTGTACAAATGTAATTTCCTACTCTTTTCTCTCTGTAAGGCTAGAAATTTCATTCTCACTGAGTCTATCAACCAGCAGCTGTTACGGATAACAGTCAAATATCCAATTCAGTTCAGTTTCAACAGAATTTAGTAGCAATTTACAAACATGGGAAGCCTAAACAGCATGCCTAAACAGATGTTACAGAAAGCATCCTTAAAGACTCAGAGATATACAAAAGACCGGGAGGCAAAGCATTTGTGTAAA